TCTGCGTGGGTGGCCGGATCCTTCTTTGTCGGTGGGTGGCCGGATCCTTCTTCGTCGGTATTTTGGTCGGTTTTTTTGAATAATGGTCGGTTTTGGGAAATATTTGGACGGTTTTCACGTGGTTGGACTTTTTCTTCTCCTTCCAATGAGGGTATTTTTGCCTCTTACATTGTAACTTCTTAATTTTCGAATTTTTCTTTTTTTTTTATGTTATTTATTGGTCAAAGGCCAAAATGGAATTTTGGCCTTTTCAACAGGCCTTTTCAACAGGCCATTCACACGTATATCCTCGTTCTCTAATCTCCTTGCCTAGTATTCTGTGCTTTACTGTGGTAAGCTAGAGGATTGCTTGCTGCATCAGAATTGCATGTACCCTCTATCACAAGCATCAGTCTCCAAGGCCGAGTGAGAACACCTCTCTGTCTCCCCGTCTACCCCATCCGGCACTAAAGTTTCATTATAATCCTCTTATAATTTAAAGTCAAAATCAAACATTAATTTTATGCATACGTTCACGACTATTATCCATTTATTATTTACACATTTTGTAGGGATTCAAACAAGCACTTAAAGAAGTCGTATCGGATGGGGATTTTAGGGCATTTCGCACGGGCAAATAGTTAATCATATTGTAGCGTGTGTGTTATAAAATGAATTGGCTTTAACAGTAATGTGGCGTGTTAACAATTTATAAATTAGAGAGTTTAGCTCATGTGTATTGTTTATTACCGTGATGTCAAGGTATCAATTAGCAGTATGAAGATGTGGTATCACTTAAGAGTTGAGGGAATACGTCTAATTAGACTTCTTTCGTTCTTGCTTATCCTTTGACTGAGAGTCGTTGAAGGATAGTCAGAATAGCTCAACCTATGCTTGGCTCCTTTCGACCGGTCTCCTATTTACGTTTAGATGCACCATTTCTCATAATTCGGTGTCATCATTTAAATAATCGAATACTTAGTCAACCAATGTCATATGGAAAATGACGAGACCGTCCAACTTTCATTGGATATATGGACTCATCGTTCCCTTTATGGAATGAAAAAGATTTTTCGAGATTACTAGTGGAGTAAAAAATAGTTGTGTGAGATAATGGCTTTGTAATTGTGGCCACACGAGTTTAACTTAATCCGGTTCAGATAGAGTACAGGTATTGGTCAGCCTTGCGGCACCAAATAAGTAAACCCCCTAACCTTTGTAAAATGGCACTTTCTGCCATTATCACTCTCACTCGACATTGTCACTCACCCATTAACCTTTGGCATTCTCATTCTTCCCTTTTCATTTCTCGATTAATAGTCACTCCTAGAAAGCCAATTTCTCGCCAATACTTTCATTCCAAGAAGCGATTTTTCACAACGATGTCTTCAGCTGGAGCACAGGAAAGTAAACTCACTTCTCCCTACGGTTCGTGGAAGTCCCCCATCACCGCAGACCTTGTTTCCGGTTCAGAAAAGCGCCTCGGTGGCTTTACAGCGGACCCTCTTGGCCGACTCATTTGGCTCGAATCCCGTCCCACTGAATCGGGGTATACTTTTACAATTCAATAGTGCGTACATAAATACGTTTTATTATGATAAAGATTGTTTTAAAAGTGGATGTTTGTTTTCATTAAGTTGAATCTACTTTGTGGGTGTTTTGGAAGACTGGTGCTTGTGGGAACAGAATATGAAGTCCATGATATAGCTTTTGTTTTCTTTTTCTATTTGTTGAATTTGATTATAAAGTTTCTGGGGTTTTCAGAAGAACAGTGCTGGTAAGGCAAGCAGAGAAAGAAGGGGGCAAGCCTGTAGATATTACTCAAAATGATTTTGGAGTGAGGACAGTGGCACAAGAATATGGAGGTGGGGCTTTCAGTATTTCAGGGGATGTAGTAATTTTCTCAAATTATAAGGACCAAAGACTCTATAAGAACTCAATGTCATCTGCAGGTCAATCTTTTAATCTTTTCTCGCCTCTTGAGATAATGTACAACTACTTTTGGTTACATTTTACTTGGCTTTCAGTTCTTATTCTATTCATAACGTTTCTGTTCTTCATCAAACGGGCTTCTGTGCTCTATCACTTTAATTGATCATGCTGTCAACATAAAAAAAAAAGAAAAAAATTGTTATTTTGGGGTAAAAGAGTTCCTATCGTTTTACTTAAGTTTTAATGTTGGTGTTGATTTCTGTTTGAATGTGAGAAGCTTTTGAGATCTTATTTATTTGATTCATCCTAGCAGATTCAGTTCCTGTGCCACTTACGCCAGATTATGATGGACCAGTTGTGTGCTATGCGGATGGAGTGTTTGACTCACGATTTAATCGTTATCTAACAGTAAGAGAAGGTAGATTCTCAATATTTATCATCCTTTCAGGGACTGTATTGTTGAAGTTGTTTAATTTATTATCTTTTCTAGCATTTATTCTTATACTTATTGCTGTTCTGTTTGCTAGACCGTCGTGAAAGTAGTACAAATCCTACCACAACAATTGTTTCAGTTGATCTCAGTATCAACAATATAGAAGGTAAGTTGGCTTTTGTGAATGTTTCTAGGAGTAGTTTGGTAAAACTAGTTTATTTTCTATTTTTTCTTGATTTTTAACTTTTTTTTCCTTTAAGGTGGACGTCTGGGATGAGGGGCCTGGGTTTCTAGTGAATGACTGTCTGTTATATTTTCCTATTTATGCTGATAATCAGTCATGATGCAGAACCAAAAATATTAGTTGGTGGCAACGACTTTTATGCTTTTCCTCGGATTGATCCTAAAGGAGAACGAGTGGCCTGGATTGAATGGGGTCATCCCAACATGCCATGGGACAGATCAGAACTTTGGGTTGGCTACATATCTGAGAATGGGTATGTTGAACTTGTTTTTCTTTTGTTTTCTTGGTGCAGAAGACAGGAAGTGTCAACTTATCCTTTTAACTTTTTTCGTTTTTGATCATTGGAATTTGGCATTTCCCTTGCTAGCATTATTTTGCATGCATCCTTGCTAAGTAATTTTACCCTCTTTCGATCTGATTTCATAAGAGAGAGAGAGAGGTAATATTAGGGGGGGGGGGGGGGGGGNNNNGAGAGAGGTAATATTACCCCCCCCCCCCCCTTCTTTCTGATTTCTGTGATTTCTTAGGAGACTGTAAAGTTTATTGACTGCATTAAGTGTTCTAAACTTAATATATGCATGCAGAAAATAGAATCCATGTACTGTGTGAGGAAGTCTAAGAGACTCCATAAATTTGGCAAATCATGTTTTATGCAAATTTTGGGTAACGTTACATCAATCCAATCGTACTTGAAGCCAAACAAAATATATTAGTTTGAATATCTACTGCAAGTGTCGTTATAGTTCATTGTTTGATTTATCTGAATATTTAGGTTTGCTGATATTTTGATATTTTACAACCTCTCATATCAAATCTCGATCCCTGAAACCCAGCCTTTGGCAGTTCTTCCAAATGCTTCTGTTTACTGACTCTCCTTTGTTGCTTATTTTTGTAATATTCAAGTCATTGTGGTTCCTATGTCAATTACATATTCTCTATATTGATATACATAGTGTAGGTGATAAAGTGCAAGGATGTTACTTATCATTTTGGATTTTAATCCCGTTCACTTGTGACCAATTCTTTCGTGCAAGTTCAATAGTGACAATTTATATATAAAGTGCCCTAAGTATTTTTTGTTCTCTTATTTGAAATGCTTTGTTCCAGGGACATTCAAAACCGGACCTGTATCGCTGGTGGCGATCCATCAATTGTGGAATCCCCAACCGAACCTAAGTGGTCACCTCAAGGTAGGGTTTGGACTTCTCTACTCAAAGCATCACGTGCCTTTTTAATGCTCCTTTTTCTTTTTCAATTTGACCATAAGCAAATCCTTTCATATGATTATCTCTTTTACCGTCATAAAAGACTGTAGCCTTCTCATTTAGGTGCACTTTATTGTGATGTAGCCAGTTCAGTCTAGAAAATATTAAGGTGCCACCCCACTCCTATCCCCAAGAGAGAAAAATTATAAGAAAGCAACGTTCATAGTCAGGGGCATCTCCTAATCATGATAAGAAAGTATAATTCTCACCAGTCACCACTTCCACAATCACCAATCTTGTGGATAATTTCGCTAATTTACCAGCTTAACAGTATATCTGCAGAGTGAACAAAACTAGTAACTAAAACAAAGATATTTAAAACGTACACAAGTGCTTTGGCATATAAAGGTTTTAGGTTGAGTAGAACCAAGACATAATAGATATAAAGCCACTTAATTGGGTCTATGCCTCTTTGTGAGGAAGAAAGAGAGAGAAAAAAAATGAAAGGTGCTATAGAAACTTATTGGCAGATTAAAGAAAGTGGTTGGAAAAGAAGCACTGTTTTAAGAAGTTTTCTGATTAGACCAGGAAGATCTGCCTCGACTTGAATAGATGAAAGTCTCCGAGTGACAGCCAAGCACGAGTCTGCAATTTGGATAGAATCTGGAAATCTTTTAAACTGTTTTTCTGCTCTGTTTCTTTAATCTTCTTTGTTCTTTTTTGGTATACATCCGTAGCTTCCCTTGTGTTAATGTTTCTTTTTGGTTTTCTGATTTTGTTTTTGTTGGTGTATTGGCTACTCTGTTTGTCTGTCATTCTTTTTTCATTGGGTATTTGTATTCAGGTGATCTAAAATTGTTGGGCATCTGTGTCGTGTTGCTTCCTTGTTCTGTTGAACTAGACTTAGGTGTTTGTTTTAAACTTCCCATCCTCTGAATGGATGGCCTTTGGCCAAATGGTGTTTATGTTGGCTGGTGCCATTTCTTTTGTTTGGTTGAATCTCCTTTGGTTTTAGTTTGCCTCCCTCTCTTTAGACCATCACTGGCCTTTGGCCAGATGGTATTTACATCAGGCTGTACTGTTTCACTTGTTAGGTTGAATAATCACCTCAGTTGATTTTTTTGTCTCCTCTCCATTCTTACCATTTTTGGCCTCTGTCCAGTTAGCTAAACTACATTGTTAGAACTTTCTTCTTTGTTCAAGCTAATATTGTTGATCTAAAATATGTTTTCTTTGGTATCAATTTCACTGGAGTAGCTGATGTAATTATTCATAGATCATCTTTTTTTGCCGTCATCGTGAAATATTTATTGCGTACTTGCAGTACATTTTTAACCAAGACTAATAACTCTGAGTAGCTTGAACTTTCCTGGCACTGATTTGTTATTCTTAATTTGCAGGAGAACTTTTCTTCATCACTGATAGAAAAAGTGGGTTTTGGAATATCTACAAATGGGTACATATTCTTCTTATCATTTGTCAGATTCACTTGGTTGAGAAACCCATATTTTTCCAATTTTCTTCACCATTTATTGACTGATACAAATATGCCCAATGCCCTGATGTTTCACTGCAAGGATTTTTCATATCACATTCATTTACATCTCTCTGTAATTAGTGCCATCAAGCTTGACAAACATTAAATGGCAACTTCCAAGATGCTTGTGGGACCTCATCCTTTTCCATCTCTAAGCCAAAGCTATTTTTTGTCTTCTGTTTGGGAAAAGATTTATGCCATGCAACTATTGCTGATAAATATTGATACTAATACCTTCGGCATTGACAATGGTCTCCCATGTTTTAGATATTAGATGGAATTTCCTGTCTTATACCCATGATGAAATAAGTATAAATATAGAAGTCTTTGTTATTGCAGAAACTTCGTAAATGTTTTATATTGGAATATGTAACATGACATTTTGATTTTGATGCCCTTAACTTTACATTATGTATTTTCTTTCCAGATGCCCTGTTATTCTCTGGCGTACAGGCTTAGTTATGATAAGTTCTGATTTCAGGCTTTGATCAGTATCTTTAATGTATAAAAGTGTCTGATATATTACTGCATCTTATTCATATTCATTTGAAAGTCACATATATGGTTATAGCATATCATGCACTAAAAAGTTTAACAAATGTTAATTTTGTCATGAGGGTCACATGTGACATCCATAAAACCTTAGACTAACTTGGTCGTAATCATTGCTCTGCCACTTTCATAGTCATCGTCGTCGTCGTCATCATCATCATCATCTCTCTTCTCTCTTACAAACACACATAAACACACGCGCACACAAACGCATTCATAATTGACTGAGTCTTGATCTCATGTTTTTCCTATAAATTGATCTCAGGTGGAATCTACAAATGAAGTGCTGCCTGTTTACTCCTTGAACGCTGAGTTTGCAAGACCTTTATGGGTTTTTGGCATGAACTCTTACGAGTTTGTTCTGAATCATGGTCAAAAGAACTTGATTGCTTGCAGTTACAGGTGTCTCCAATATAACATTTTCAATAATAAAATTTATGTTTCAGCAAGTTTTTGAAAAATGTCATCATACAGTATGTATGTTCTGGACCTAATTTTTATCTAATTCATTTCTTGTTCTTTTGGGTTTTATTGAAATATTTCAATTGTGTGGATAATGGTCTGCAGGAAGAAAGGGAGGTCATATCTTGGAATTCTGGATGTTGCTATGAGCATGATATCGCTGCTTGATATTCCTTTCACAGATATAAATAATATTGTAAATAACATTTGCCTCCTCGATGTCTAGAATATTAAGCCCCTGTTTGACCCCCATTTTTCCCCGAAACTCATTTCAACCACATATTCTCCCATAAAATAATTTTACACGTAAACTCAAGAATTTCCCCTATTTTTTAACCACGCATTATCCAAAAAATCACTATTCTAAAAATACATTTCCCCCAAAAAATGGGGCTCAGACAGGGGCTAAGATTTTCTCTTGTAAATAATATTCAGGTTCTTATGATATTTGTCTAAAAAGATGTGCATAATGCTAATGCAGACATCTGGGCTTGATTGCTTGTATGTTGAGGGAGCTTCTGCAGTTCTTCCATTGTCAATAGCTAAGGTGCTGAGTTTGTTTTACTGTCTTACTAACAGATAGATCATATGTATTACTTCAATTTCTTGAATATGACAATGCCTGAGTATTTATTTTTTACTTTATGTTTTCACTTTAGTTCATTCCTCAGCAATTTTTTGTTATGTTTGCAGGTGATTTTAGATGATCAGAAATCAAAAGTGGTTAATTTTAATATAATATGGTCTTCTTCTTCTTTTAATTCGGACTACAAACCATACCTGAGTTCACCAGAACTGATAGAGTTCCCTACCAAAGTCCCAGGTGAAAGCGCATATGCGTACTTTTATCCCCCAACCAACCCTCATTACCAAGCCAGTCAGGAAGAAAAACCTCCTCTGCTGTTGAAGAGCCATGGTATTCTTTTCGTTTTTTTCTTCAATCACGATTGGGTTTGTGAGATTTAAGTTTTTATTTGAACTGTTCAGTACTTAATGTGAGAAAAGTCTTTAGACACTCATACAGTTGCTGCTTTTTTTTTTCCTTGTACCCTATAATATTGTAAGTAGCGACAAGTGATTTTTTTCCACGTTAATATTCCTGTGGCTACATAAGTATGTTCTGAAAGTGAAAAGTTATGGAGTTTTATCTGAAGACTTGCATTCTTGAGGATGAATAAATATCTTTCGGTGGTTCTATATTTCATAGTTCTGGCATTACACTAGCAAGGATTGTCATCTGGATAATTGAATATAACCGCAGTGTAGAAATCTTGAGAGTTAGCAACAGCTTATAACAGAACCTAAATCTGTCTAATAGTCTTCTATGGGGAATTGTTTATCTCTAATATGAGAATTGCTTTGGTCTGCAAATCTGATAACAGTGGTTGTGCATTTCTACTAACAGATAGTATTGAATTACACCTGTAAAATTTAGTTACTTACGTTCCTTTTGTTTGTTTGGGGGCAAAATTGTTCTGCTTGTGCATGTCAACTGTCTTACATCTGAAATGCAAATGGCCATCTATCTTAAATATTTTACTGATATGTGATTGACTTGTGAATTGGAAGTATATATGTCAAACTGCATGAATATAATAGTCAATGAGACACCCATTTGCTAATGAGATAAATATTCATTGGCATTATACATGATGTTGGAGAGAATTGATATGAATGACCCTATAGAAAAAAATATATGCTGAATATCTTTAGTATGCCTATTGTTCTTTGAGCATAACCTGAACAAAATTCTGTTTTATTAGATGTACCCGTTGCCAAACTCTAATTATGCAACATGCAGGAGGACCTACTGCTGAGACACATGGAATTTTTAATCTCAGTATCCAGTATTGGACAAGTCGGGGTTGGGCATTTGTGGATGTTAATTATGGTGGAAGCACTGGTATATCCATTGTTAATTTTGGTTTTTCTATTTGCTTGCTGCTCAGTTCTTTTCGCTAAATGTATAGTGTTTAAGTTGAAATCTGAAGGTTATGGTAGAGAATATCGAGATAGGCTACTGGGACGCTGGGGAATTGTTGATGTCGATGACTGTTGCAGTTGCGCAGAGTATTTGGTGACATCTGAATTTCAACTATTTTCCTAGTTACAATAAACCTGCTATGATGGTTTTGGACCTTTGGTTGTAATAAATTTTTTTGTATTCCAGGTTGACAGCGGAAAAGTTGACAGTGAACGACTATGCATTACTGGAGGTTCTGCTGGTGGATACACAACATTGGCTGCACTTGCATTCAAAGAAATATTCAAAGCTGGAGCTTCCTTGTATGGTGTGAGTGTTTGATCAATCACTTACAAATTTAATGTCAAGAGTTTAATATATGCTGCTAGCAATATATTTACTATGGGTATTTTATTGTTCTTCAATCTTGTTTGCATCAATATGGCACTCAGTTTCTTCAAAAAGTGAATAACTCTGTCAAGTTAGTTTTGTCAAAATTGTTTGTGGTAATATTATGGCACTTTGGTTGAAAGAAACGTGAGAGGAATAAATGTTGATGTAGGACAATCCTATTGCACATAGGATAGGGATCTATTTCTTGTTGTAGTCGGATTTTATTTCTAGATTAGGACTTCTATTCCTCTTAGGTTTTTAGTTACTTATTTTTCTTGAGCTATTAGGATTAGGGGATTATTTTACCTATATAAGCAAGTCTCTGTACACTTCTTAATCATCAGTTTTCATTATAATCAAATCACTCTACAAATTTTCGAGTTTAACTTTCTTCTTAATTCAAAAATTTAATTCCACTTTCGTACCAAAATTGGTATTAGAGAAGGTTAGCCCTTCATTGATGGCTACCTATGATGATAGTGATACGAATCCTTGCGATAATGTTCGGAAGATGGTCCAAAATCTGGAACGAGAGATGGATAAATTCGAAGATATTGCTAACAAAAATTTGTAGACTTTGATTGCTATGAATGTTGGCCTCTCCAAGGAGTCCATAACACGATAACATGTGGCTAGAGATTTCCTCGAGTCCAATCTAGGTCCAAATATTCACATTGTGAAGGCTTAATACAACGTGGAGATTTTCATTGGTCAAACCATCATATGTGCAATGATGATTTACTCCAACATGATAAAATTTGTCCATTAAACCATCACATACGGCATAATACGATGTTCCACCTTTGGGTAACAATCTTCTTCGATGCAATAGTAAGTTCCAATGCAACTTAGTCCCTGTTTGACCCCTTTTTGGAGGAAAATGTGTTTTAAAATAATAATTTTTTTAGAGAATGTGTAGTTAAAAGTAAGAAATTTTTTTAGGTTTACGTGTTAATTTATTTTATGGGATAATGTGTTGTTGAAAACGAGTTTTGAAATAATGAGGTTTTGAAAAAATGGAGGCCAAATATAGGTTTAATTCAACATAACGTCATTCCTCTGAACAAAGCCAATGTCAAATGGAGCATTAACAAGGATTTTGTGAAGCCTAATTTGAAGTGCAACAAGATGTTTAGAACACAATGCTCCATCAACAATAAATATGCAACATAAACCTAGATCATGGGATTAGCGATAAAAATACTCGTTAGCTAAAGTTTTAAATTGGAAAACGAAAAATACTTGTTCGATTATCAAGCTTCACTAGTTAGAAGGGAAGGACGAATCAAGATACGAAGGTATGTAGAGTTTTACTTTATATTGGAAAGTACTACAAAAATGAGATTGAGTGTAACGTGGTTGAGATGAATGAGTGTTGCGTGCTTTTGGGACAACCATGGTAATATAATGTAGATGCTACTTACATAGGCAGAGATAATAAGTACATGTCTTGGTAGTACGTTGTATGATAAGAAGATTGGTGTATTGCCGCTTAGCAAAATGCGAATACTAGTGTAAACAAAGAACATAAGATTTATAAAGCACCCGATGAGTTTGAAAATATGTCGTTTAGAAGATTAGAATGTTGCCGATCATGATATTGCAATAGAGATAGAAATTATATGCAAGAAAATCTAAGATCTACTAATCAACAAAGCATGGAAATTGACAAGGGATAAAATCGCGAGGATGAAAGCGTAAATTGCAATTTAAGACTCTAACTTCAAGCCGCACTCTGATCATAAACAAGTTGAAGTTTAGAAGTGTCAGGCAGAGGGAAGGGAATTGAACTTCCCTATTATGAAGCAATTGAAGGTGATGCTTGACAAATTGAGAACAGAAGTTCTGTTGACGTTCTATGAAATCTTATTCCATTAATTATATAAGCATGAGAGATATTGGGTATGAATCTAAGTCCACATGCCAGTTCTTTTGTAAGATGAAGGATTAAAAATAATACTATTGGACTGAAATTGAACCATGCATCATTTATGGAGGAATATCATGTAGGAAGTGTCCGTGAGGAAAATAAATGAACAAAGTAGAAGCAAAGTTGACTTCAAATGATGTAAATGTTTACAACGATATTTATCGTGCACATCAAGAGATGACATTTCCTCCTAATTGATAAATTTACTCTTCTTCAACTAAATTCGAGGATGAGTTTTTTTTCAAGTGGAGAAGACTGATTTAAGACAATCCTATTGCAAATAGGATAGGGATTTTATTTCTCGTCGTAGTGGGATTTTATTTTCTTGTTTAGATTAAGACTTTTAATTCTTCTAGGTTTTTAATTATTCTTTCAATGTTTTAAATACTTATTTTCCTTGATCACTTTGTACACTTTTTAATCATCAGCTTAATTATAATCAAATTATTCTTTATAATTTTTTGAGCTTTTCAACTTTCTTTTTGTTTTAAGAATGTAATACAGCTTCTGCACCAAATGTCCATCTTTTTACAGGTCTACGTCATCTCAATATTTTAATGCTCTAATGGTGATTACCATTTGAAATGAACACTTACATAATTGGAACGTATTCACTTATGTCAGGAATGCATGTAAATTATCGCAATTTAGTTCAAAAGAAATTCTTTTAGTGAACTCCGGCATTATTTATGAAGCTTAACAGTTTTCTTTTCCAAATTTTGTAGTGCTGATTTGCTCTAAATTTCCTGCATACCTACAAAAAGTATGTATGCTCATATTTTGTTAGCTGTTTATATGCAAATACAAACAAACATGTCAAAGATATTGGAAGGTTCATTTCTTCAACTATTTCTCATGTTCCTTTAATGTGTATCTTAATTGTTGAAAGGGGAAGAGAAAAGAGTCACTTATTTAATTGCCAGTAAACATACAGGGCACAGGCAACTAAAAAGTGGAAGAACTCACACATGTATCATGCTACTTTTCTGTGATTAGTCCTCTAATGCCAAGGGGAAAAATAAAAGCTTCACTAAATTCAAATCTCTTGCTGATAAGAGCTATAAAATCTTTTGACTGTTGGATCTTTTAATTGGGAGATCAGTCTATGTTTTAGTAACTGAATATTGGGTGATTCATGGACATTTATGAGAATCTAGTGTCCTTTTTCTTTTTTCTTTGTTTCTTTTTCCTTTTTTGAGGGGGAGTGTAAGTACCAATGCTGACCCCTTGACCATGGTTGTGGAAACAACAAGCCTTAACCAACCAGGAGAGAGAGAGTACCAATTCTGAACCCTTGACCTTGGTTGTGGAAACAACAATCCTTAACCAACCTGGAGAGAGAATTGGTTGAATTTAGTGTCCTTTAGTCCACTAGGCCATGAATGAAGCTCCAACAACAAATCACTGCCTTAGAGCATTTTTTTTGGTCCCACCTTCAACATTTGAGATCATGTAGGTATTTGTGTTTTAAATTGACATACCCACTAAACCTACCTATGTGAATTTGAGGTAACAGTTGATATCGTATCTATAACTTCGTATTTATGTTTATCCATGTAGATATTATATCCTTTCATGTTTAAAACTTACTTCTTTTAAAATCACTCATCTCAATTCTCAGTATATTTATCGATCCATGACAAGTGGTGGAAATATGCTTCACTTATCTTAGTTTCACTTGACCTAAAATGGATCATAAACGTGAAAGGTGCAGAAATTAAGCATGCTTCTGAAAGATTTTTTTTTGTTTTTAACGAGACTGTTAATGTCATGAAAAATAGTTCTTGAATAAGGTGGGATCAGGGGGCAACATACAAATACCCTATGTAACACTAAGCATGCATTTGCTTTTTGTCGTCTCTATTTTCAATTAATATCTGATTTTTAGTTGATTTTGTGTAATTATTGGTTTTTATTTGTGAATTACGTAGGTTTTCATGTGTTAAAATTTGATCTCTCTAGTTAAATAATATTTATTTCTCAAAAAACAGGTGGCAGATTTAAAATCATTGAGAGCTGACACTCACAAGTTTGAGTCTCACTATCTTGACAACCTTGTTGGTAATAACTGTATTACAATATATTTAATTTCTTTTTGGTGTTTATCCCTCAACTTTTTCCCATATCACGGCAGCTAATCGTACGATGCAGGAAATGAAAATGCATACTTTGAGAGATCTCCTATCAATTTTGTTGATAAATTTTCCTGTCCCATAATACTATTTCAAGGATTAGAAGACAAGGTATGAATGAAATTGACCTTTTATCTTTCTGATTTTTCTGTTTTTTCTTTGTTCACCTAGATATTAACCTTCCTGACTTCTGAATCATAAACTATCAACTTCTTGTGGTTAATTCGCTTACGACATCCTTGATTATTCTGGTAGTCATGATTTCCGACAGTGAGTCCTGCAATTTTACAGGTTGTCCTCCCCAATCAAGCACGCAAAATCTACCATGCGTTGAAGGATAAAGGGTTGCCAGTCGCTCTTGTGGAATACGAAGGAGAACAACATGGATTCCGCAAGGTATATATATTACTTTAAATTATAGCTTGTATATTCTGGTGGAAACTAGTTGCTGATTGATGTGAATGCAGGCTGAAAACATCAAGTTCACTCTCGAACAACAGATGATGTTCTTTGCTCGTTTGGTTGGACACTTTCAGGTGGCAGATGATATCACTCCGATCAAGATTGATAACCTTGACTGAGTGGACGTAATTTTGGATATGACTCGAATCCTTGTAATTTTGCACTTTGCTTGAATAAGTGTACCTTTCTGTCCAACAGAGTCACGGTGCAAGTTAGTGGGTTTTCATTTCTTTGAAATGTCAATCAAACCACTTTATTGTCATATATCGTTACGAACTACGGTCAGTATTGACATTGGAATACAATCAATCCACAACCAATCCTCTCTACTCACCGTAGCAAGAGATGCAAATAAATTCAAGTGACAATCCACTACTCCAAGCAGTGTTACAGTATCTAAAATAATTAAAGCAATATCCAACAATGGACTAGATGTTTAAAACTCTTGAAAAGCCTGCAGTGCGTTCAGCCTACACTATACCGATCCACAGCACGAACCAAAACCAGACCCTCTCATAATGAAATAGCCACCGCATGCTGAGGAGAGATTTCTCACAATGCACACCGGGTACGAGCTGACACAGACAACTCCAATGCCAATAAATCCAAACTACCGTCAAATACCAGCGTCTGTATGAAGTTTCAAACTGCCAATGACTAGTGCATTCCAAGAGAGGCTGCACCTTTCTCCTTTTTCAGTCCCCTGCCTTTGACTGTCAAGCCTCGTCTCCTGCTGTTGCATTAAGACTGATGCCACTTTACCTTTTTCTTCATCTCTAGTATTTTATTACTTGAGATTGATCAACCCTACTACTTCGAATCACTGTTTAAATTCTTGAAATTTGGATATTGTATAGACGCAAAAGAATAACTTGCGAAAAAGAATTGAACCCCAAGGGAAGGAATGATTTAAGGAGGAAAGAGTCGTCAGTTTGGCATGATTCCTCTCTTGGTTTCTACCGGTTAGGCTTCTTGACAAAGAAACCACTAAGGGGGAGAATGAAAAATTTGGAGAGGACATAGTGATTAATTTGTGAGAGATTTTTTTCAAGAAAAAGGAAATCAACATGGAATATAACCAATACTTTATTTTCCTTTTTCTTTATACAATCTAAATAAATGGGAGACAATTGTGATAACAGATTTGTCATCGAATGTTGGTGTAGTTATAATCTGGAAATCTAACAAGAGGGAAAGAGAGAGCAGTACAAAAGGGAGTAGAATGGCTAGTGAAGTATCCATGGGGGAAGGAGAAGCCAGTAAGCAAATGAAATTGTTTCATAATTAAAAATTTAAAATAGCTCACCAGATGTGATTAGCTTTCCTTTTAATTGCAGTAATATCTTTGTGCCTCTCTTGTAGTGGCGCATCCAATATATTTGATTAGACAAAATTATAACATCTTCACCAATACCCTTTGCAAGAGCAGGATCCATTCTTGAAATGATGAAAGCGACTCGAGTCCCTCAGTATAATTTCATGTTCAATGATCCTGGAAATGTAAGTAATGGCTATATGACAATCCCCACAGACACGCAAGTTCTTGGTGATCCTAATAGGCACCCCTGGAGCTGTTGTAAGAATGCCATATGCAAGTGCCAATTTCTCACTGTGTTCAAGCAGAAGATCCCCTTTTTCCTCATCATCTACATCATGGAGAGCAAAGCTAGTCTCGGGAACATATCCCATAATTTTAATACGGTGAATCAGATCATCGAGGAGATTATATATCTCTTGAGTCATTGGATGAGATCTGTCACCCACAAAAAAGCTTGCTGTCCCCTTCTTTCCTTGGACCCAACTACAGCCAGGTCTTTTCCTAATTCCTGAGTGCTTCATCAATGATCGAATCCTGGCAACGTCTTTCCATCGCTTGGCACTGGCATATATGTTTGAAAGAAGAGTGTACAAGCCATCATTTTCAAACTTCAACTCTAACAAATGGCTTACAGCGTGTTCCCCTAGTTCAACATTCTTATGAAGCCTGCAACCACTAAGAAATGCCACCCAAACTATCGGGGTTGGCTCCATCGGCATATCCTTGATGACCTTCATAGCTTCATCCAAGCGACCAGCACGCCCTAAGAGATCAACCATGCAAGCATAGTGTTCCACTGATGGAACAACTCCGAAATCCCTTCTCATGTTATTGAAGTAATTGATCCCGGTGTCAACCATTCCAGAGTGGCTACAAGCATATAAAACAACTACGAAAGTCACTCCATCAATTGGGAGACCAGCTCTCCTCATCCCATCGAACACTTGGAGAGCCTCGTCACCACGACCGTGCATGCCGTATCCTGTCATTATAGACGTCCAAGAGACAGCATTCTTAGAGCTCATGTTATCAAATACAACTCGAGCTGCATCAACATCCCCTGATTTGGTATACATGTCTATCAGGCAATTTGATACAAACAACATGGCCTCGTCATAACGATTACGCAATGTATAAGCATGTATTTCTCTACCAAGTCTAAGAGCACCCAGACGAGCACAAGCCACCAACGCACAAGATATAGTAAATGCATTTGGTATCATGCTATTTTTGTCTCTTAGCATCGCAGAGAACAGTCCTAATGCATCACTTGCTTCCCCATGTTGTGCATAACCACCTATCATGACCGTCCAAGTCACTACACTCCTATCCTTCCTTTCAATTGAATCAAACATGGCACGGGCAGTTCTGAAATTCTTGCACTTTGCGTACATGTCTATCAAACCGTTGATCACCATCATCTCATCCCCAGGATCATTTCCTACTATATTCAAAAATTCTTTAATAACGTAACAATGGGTTTCTTTCCCCTGATCTAATGCCCCAACTGCCGCACAACCTGATAAAACTGAGACGAGTGTAACAGCATTTGGTTCCGATTCTGAAACTATCATCTCCCTAACCACATCGAGTGCCTCATAGCCAAGCCCCCTCTGAGAGTACCCTGAGATTACAGCACTCCATGTGACCACATTTAATTCAATCTCCTCCTCCCTCATTCTCTTGAACAGTCCCAAAGCATCATCGAAATTTCCAATCTGCGAGTACCCTGTAACCATTGCATTCCAAGTGACCACATCCTTCATCTCCATCTTGTCGAATACGGTCTTTGCCTCTTCCATCAATCCGCACTTTGCATACATATCTACTATCGCATTTCCCACAAAAACATCCTCAACTAAACCCTTCTTTATTGCATACCCATGAATTTCCATACCATTCCTCCACGATTTGACTGAAGCGCAAGCGGGGAGCACATTAACCAAACTAACCGCATCAGGACGCAATGCATAGTCTGAGACAGAAACCATCTTCTTAAACATTTGTGAAACTCTTCTCCACTCACCAATTTGTGAATAAACCGCTATAATAGAATTCCAGGAAATCGTGTCAAACACCCTTCTCTCAAGCATTTCACCAAACACCTTCTGTGCTTTCTCATACTCTCCACACCGACCATACATGGCAACCATTGCATTGCCCACAAACACATTGGAGTTAGTATAACCAGTAACAACAGCAAGAGCGTGGACTGATGCACCCTGGACGAGAGACGAAAGCTCCCCACAGGCTTTGAAAACGTAAGGATAAGTATATTCATCGGGAACCCAGTTGAGCCTCCGCATTTCATTAAAAAGATGGAGGGCATTCTCAAGATTTCGTATTGAAACGCTGCTTTTAATGAGGTTGTTCCAGTAGAATACCACGGAACGCGAGGGTGGGAGGTGGCGGAGGAGGGCGAGAACTTCGGGATGTGCATCGCAAGAGAGGTAATTGGAGAGTATTTGTGAGGTGTTCTTTGAATCTGAGAAGAGGGGAGCTCCTTGGATTACTTGTTGCTGGTGGATGAGCTTTGCTTTGGTTAAGGATTCGAAATGTTGTGCCGAAGAAGAGAAGAAGAGGGCGTGGACTGTGATAGATTTGTGTCTGAGTTTTGGCGGGATGGACGAGGAAAAGAGCATTTGGTTTGGCAGCGGTGCCTTCACCAATGCCCGCGGAAGGGCTTTTGTAGTCTGGACAAGCTAGGGATGGCAAAAAAATTCGACAAATTCGATACTCGTGGCCCTGTCTCGAACGGGGCGAGAATGACTCGCTTAATCGGGTATTTGGGGCTGGGCCGGGACGGGTAACGTCGGGGCACCCCGCCCCGCCCATAAATTTTTTTTTAGAATTCAATACTTTAAATAAAAATTTTCATTAATTCTAATAAAAAATAACAACTAAAATTATTTGTCTAAATCTAATGAATATGGGCAATAAAAATAAATTATCAAAAAAAATAAAAATTAAATGGATAGTAAACGGGGCAAGACCCCCCTTGCCTTAAACGGGTAATGTGGGGTGGGTGGGGGGGGGGATGGAGAGGGGAATTTCTTAGCGAGGCAGGGTGGGGAAGCCCCGCCCCACTCCACCCACCCCATCATGTTGACATCCCTAGGACAAGAGTCCGGGTGAAACAATTATAAGTAATGTTACATGTACAAAATTGAGTTACAAAATTGTTTGACAAAATAAGTGTGACAAGATCTAGGCCTCTGAAATCATTGACTTATATCTTACCATACTTATTTTGTAACCCAATTTTGTAGACATAGTATTGCTCATTATTAGTGCCATATGTATTGAAAGAGAAATGATCTAAGAATTGATTATATGATTTATTGGCGAATAATGGATTTAATTCATAATTTAAAGAGTAATGTTATTCACCATCATTCACGTATAATGATTACATAGCATTAAATGATATATTTATTTAAATGCAAAATCATATAACTTATTTAAATGAACTTATAAAATGTTGTCACATAGGCTGGTACTCTATCACCACTTGTGCTAGATAACATTATTTTATTTTAAAACTTATAAAATTTTTATTCAACGATAAATTAATATGTCATATCATAAATGATCTAATAAGTATTGGTGATCTTCTTTAGTTATAACTACCATATCCATATTAGTTAATCTATCTTGCTAATTGTTGCATAAGGAGACTGATGTTATAAAAAAATCTACTACCGTTTATTCCCGAGCTTGACAATGGAAGAAGCACACAAACAAACAGAATTTTCGGTACCTAAAACAAGGTGTTGAGGTGTGTCATCTTCGCACCTCCGATACTTAAGTTAGAGAGAGAATTTATGTATGAGGCTATAAACTGAAAATTATATCAAAGTGTATCTGAATAATGAATAAAATCCTTGTATTTATATAGGTAGACAGTGCAATCCTAGTAAAATTTAGTCACTTGGATGCTTTATCTTATTTAAGAGTCCTACATGATGTGGACACTGGAGTTCTATTATAATTGTATGACCAATCATAGTTTTGTGAGAATAGTATTGTAAAGGTAAAGTCCTTTCAGATTAGAGGTCTGATAGAAAGACCAAAATTGTTTATAACAACTGTTTCGAAATTTTTAGTAAAGACCAAAATTCTGTACGTTCACACAATCAATGCCATTTATATGCACGCACGCACGCACGCACGCACGTGCATATATTCAAAATCTATCTTTATCAACTGCAATTCTAAATTGGACAATTCCACGGGAAGGAAAAAAAACTGGGACAAAAAGATGCATGAACCCTCTCATGGTCTTCTAGAAGTTGACAAGAAAATACTTTTCTAGATAAAATAAAATTATATTTTTTAATATTCTTGGAGTCTATTATTCCACCTACTCAATTAATGTTTTAACCTTCCCATTTGACTTCAACAAAACTTTAATGTTTTATTTTTCACATTAAATAAAAATAAAAATGTAATAAACCATTTTCATACAATAATCAACTCCTTGCTGCAAGAGAAGAAGACATTCTTATGCTTCCCTTGCTCGGTTCGATTTCCATTAATAAGGGCTTATTTGATAGACCATTTTTTTCCATGAAAAAGGGAATTGAAATCTCATTTCTCATTTTTGTCATGTTTGATGACACTTTTTTCCAAAAATTGGTTTTCTACATTTGCCATCACGTGAGCTCTTTTCTTGATTTTAGTTGAATTTCAATTCCCACCTTTTAGGCGGGGCTTTTTTATTTTTTATTTTTTTGCGATAAAAACAAATTATATCTTCAATTTTAAGAAATTATATCCCTTTAATTGACAATTTTCATGAAAAATAAAGTCAAACGAACATCAAAAAATAGAAAATTTCAACATTTTTCAGGTGAAAAATTATATCAATCAAATATAATTAATTGACAATTCTCATTAAAATAAGTTCTAGACAATTCAATTCCCTACAATTCGTTTTCTTTCAACCCAAATTTCATCTTTAAATCAAACGGACCCTAATAGTACACGACACTACAAAGATGTCAGAGAAGATAATCGTACATCTAATGCATAAACAAGTATCGTAAAATATTTAAAATCGTATTAAGAGAAAAAGGGAAAAACAGCAAGTATAATTATATTACTTTCTGAATGTGAAAATTTTGCATGGTCTAGAAATAAAATAAAAATATAATTTCAATTTTTAATATTTATTTGCGAGATAATCCAAAGCCATTAGCCAGTGCATGGACAGCAGGATTGAAAGCCAGTCTGCCCAGAATCCCTTGCTTGTAAGGCAAGAAGGTCTTCTTCTTCAAATCTTCTGAAGCTGCACGATTTGCTGTATAATGTAATTCATGAGCTGAAACTTTCCCTCTTCTTCTTAAGTTTGATCCAGAATCCTGAAAACTTGAATTTTTAGCATCTTCGAATGATCTTCTGAACCCTGCTGTGTATTTCCTTAAAGGATCATTATCTGCTGCTCGTCCTTCGGATGCACTTCGGAACAAGAAAAAATCCATCAATCTCCATTTTCTTTGAGATTTTGAGGATGAAGATGAGGAAAAATTCTTTGTATTCTGCTCTTTTTTCTCCTCTTGATCCCCTGGAATTTGATCAGAAACTCTCAGAGGAGAAAGTGAACGGGTTGCTCTTCGGCTTGATGAAGATAAACCTACTGCAGGAGCTCTCTCTCTTCCTCTTCTGTGCTCTGCCACCATAGGAGCGGCGGCGATTGCAAAAGGGCCGGCTTCTTTCTTATGCTTTTGAGAGAAATCACCCTCAATTCTTGCGCCGGCGGGATGTTGCAGAGGTGGTGGCGGCTTCAATGGCTTAATTACGCCACCATCAAAGAGTTCCTCTGCCGAAAGAGACGCAGTCTCCGATGAGTCCTCACCAATAACAAAAGCAAAGTCATCTTCATTTTTAGGGGAGCTGGGCTTTGTTTCCC